ATATGTGCATCTCTCTCGTCTCATGTTTATTTATTTTCTATTAACTTTATTTCGATGGGACGGTGGTAAGTTTACGGACTTACAAAGCTAAAATGTGGGGTTCAATTCTCAGCGGTAGACATAGCAAATAGTCCAATGGTAGGTATTTTTGCTTCAGGGGCAAGTTTGACTAACTGCCCCACCCCGACGTTATATATCCATAAAACAAAAAAAAACCTGTTTATAATAATAAAAATATATAGAAAATTCTTTTCCCAAATCATATTACTAGATTTAGTTCTCAAATATCTGTTAAAATAGATGGAGCTCCGCGTCAAATTCGAGCTGTGCCCGGGACAGTTGCTCCACTCGGCCCACCCTAGTTACGCTACTGAGTGTAAGGTTTGGAATTAATCAAAGCTGTTCAAGCATATTCAATAATTGATTTAAATAACATAGTGTAAATCTTGAGAATTTTGATATTGTAGTCCCATTATTTATCACAAATACCGGTAATATAATTTACTCAGGCTCTATTATAAACAGCATTGACATGGGAGTTACACATTAATTTGGAATCATAAAGTACATCCATGAATTTAGCAATCTCCGCTAGGTGGAATTATGTTTTCGTTGAGTCAAAGTTAGCTTAGGTTTTAGGAAAATAGACAAGTTATACTCGGTCTTCATCTAATCCTCCTTAATTTACACCAGTTAAATGGAAGGCTGCTACAGCTCTATATGGCAATATCATTTAACATCTCCTCAAGCTGTGAGCGCATTCCTCTTTTAATTCAGCATGTTTTGTTTACGCGGCCTTTCTTATGATCCAGTTTATGCCTGAATACAGTTCTAAAATGAACGGAAAACTTGTCATAGCTGGATCAGTCAGTGTTGAATATATCTTTGTTCATATATATATTCCATAAAGTCTTCTAATTTTCCATGCAGGTTTTAGATGTAGTTAATCACGCCCGATTCTTCGGGATGCCTCAAAATCGTAAACTTACTAATCGTTTTACACAGATAAAGATTATATAGTGTAGCTTTTGTTCTTACGTTTCAAGCTAGCATTTAACATTAACTTTTGATGAGAGCAATTTACCCCTTAGATCAAAACTTAAAATCAACATCAACCCAGTAATGAGTACAGCTAATTGAAAATATTGTTTTTACATTCTTACTTATAGAGATTATAATGCATTGTTTTATCATTTGGGTGCCTTCACTGCTAATTAAAATATTTTCTTCCATATGTGTTTGTGTATGAACTTTAAAGAACGTAGTGCATTTAGTTTTGTTCAGAAATCAATACAATTGGCTTGAGATAGCTTAGAATTATATGTAAGCCACTGGTTGAAGTATGTAACCATGGACGTGTTGGATACCATACAAAGGTTTCTGCCTGAATATAAAATGGGGAATTCTATAATTGTATCATACTTTAGTTAGTTAGTTAGTCTCTCCCCATTTTCTCTTGGTTTCGTCTCTCTTGTCCTCAATTCCAGCATACACAACACGGTCACCCGGTGGGACAGCGGTAAGTCTACAGATTTACAACGCTAAAATCAGCGGTTCGATTCTCTTCGGTAGACACAGCAGATAGCCCAATGTGGTTTTGCTGTAAGAAAAACACACACGCGAACATGGATAATGATTAAGTAACATTACAGATATTAATGCGAATAAAGATTTTACTTTATTTGTTCACTTGTTTTTTTTACCGTGCTCAATTGTTAATTCGCTTAACAGCTCTACAACCATCGTTTTTTGCGGACACTTTTGGCTTTTCTGTTGGATATCAGTGTACCTGAATATCGTAACCTTATTAAGACCTGGACTTAGTCCAGCCTTGCTCAGTATGTATTAGCTAAATATAAAGTTGTCATAACAACTGATAACTTTAATGCAATTAGTAGAGATCAGGATGAAAAGTAGTTAAATTCGTGAAAGTCTTGTAAATGCGTAAGTGCTCGAATTGTAACTACTAGTAAAGCGTTCACTTCACTTTAATTTATGAATTGCAATCCCAATCATTAAGTCTAATTATTGAAGCAATGGGCACAAACTTAGTAAAGTAATTAAACAACTAAGAACTTATTGAACCACCCCCGTTCTCCAGTACTTGACTCTTACCCATGTAACAGACACTAAACCCTCAAAAATGCTTAAAAGAACAACGAAACATTTCAAAACACACCCCATAATGTCTCAAGTGAACAACACATTCTTCAATCTCACGTCCGTGACAATGAACACTTGTATTCGTTATAAGCTTGTTTTACATTTTATTTCATAATTTTGTTATGTTTACAACCGTAGCAAAAGATGCACGAGATAATTTATTCCATTAAAGGTATACTTAATATGAAAATTTCCTGTTTTTTTACTGATCTGGGTTTTCCCGCCTTAAGCGATTACTTAAGCCGGCATTGCTTGTTCAAAGCAAAATATTATACTTATATCACACAATGCATGATTTGGACGTTTATTTAAACAGATGAAAGATGGCCGTTTCTGAATATTTAGCGAAACACTTCAGAAAATAATCTTTAAAAATACAAATGATTACTAAACTGTTAACTGGTATATGTGTGTAAGGAACGACGTACTTTTGTTTGTTCTAAAAAAATCTTACTTGAAATATCCGCTTCTTAGTCACTTCATACACACAAAGAAAAATACAGATATTGAAATACAGTCTTTATATAATTTTTGTGTTATCAGGGGACAAAAGGAGTAATAAAAGACTCCTGAGCATTCTCTTAATAAAATAAGTAGACCATTGTACGTTATAATGCCATTTGGTGACATGAATTATTACCGATAAACAAAAATTTAGATAGGTCATAAGGCAGTAATGGTTTTACAATAGAGGGCTGGGATTGGCCTAGTCTTATAGTACCGTGCTGTGGATGCATGGGTTAATGTTTCTCATCCTATTTTACAAAAATATAAGAAAAATCGCATTCCGCAGGTGCGTTATAAGCGTTATAGTTAAATCCCACAGTTCGATTAGAGTGACCCATAATTTGTGATAGATGCTGCTGACAGATTGCCTTCCATCTAGTGTACACCTCAAAATTAGGGCGGGCTAGTGCAAAAAATTATCTGGGATTTAAATCGACGGTTAAGTTATCGAATCAGAATAACTGGAGATAAGAACATTTTTCTATGTGAAGTGTGAATAAGTCTGACTTAATTCAGAAATAAACTTATATAAAATTGTTTCAAAAATAAGCAACATTATGTTTAACAACACACACAGAACACCTCTGTACCTATTGCTCCTGATTTTTAGACAAACTATTTAATTAGCAGATCGGCTACCTACATAACACTTACTGCTGGCTGAGAGGCGAAATCTGAAAGATACATCACAAAACAAACAACAAAACAGTTGTTCGTGCTTAACTTATAATATAATACAAACGCTAAAGTTTGCTATAATTCTCAGAATGCAGAATCACTTAGGTCTCATTAACAAAGAGAAAAATCAAAGTTTTGGACAACTCTTTCTCTTCAAGCATAATTAATACTTAGAATCTCACGGAGACTATCTTAACGAAACATTCAGCGAGTCAGCCAGATGTGAAGATAGACATGTCTGTGGTCAAACTTCGATCATGTGTGAAAATCGTTAAGAGCAGAATTAGCGTATAGTTCAAAGTTAGGTACATCCTCTTTGTCTAGATCAGGAAATATATTTTAAGGTTTTTGAAAAGTATAGCGATAGAATGTGACATAGTTTATGAAATATATGTATCACAGTCCTATATCAGACTGTAGAGAAAAGGTCAAATTGATATGAAGTTTTTATGTAGAACAATCTATCAGAATATTTAAACATGAGGAATCTACTGACGGACGAAGATGGGAGTTCGTACCTTCCCTAAAGTGTTCGTTGAGTCATAAGTTTAAAAAAATAAGGGTTAAATCGTTAAAAATAGCACCATCACAGTATAGAAACAGATGCTTACGTAGATGTTAGTTCACTCACTTCCTATATTCCAAATTAACGTAAAGCTTACTGTAATTGATTGAGTGTAAAAACTAAATTAAGCCATTGTACGTATAGTGTATCTGATTTCGTGAGTATAACAAGGTAGTGCTTGTTAAGAGAGACTTATATATGACTGGTGTGCCTATAACTAGAAAATCACCTTAATCGTGGATTACAATAATTAATTTAGTCTTAAAGAATGTTCTTTATCTATGAAATATAGAAAATCACTTTAATCGTGGATTACAATAAACAACCCACCTTTTTTCTCTCCCTTATTTCATAGATAAAGAACATTCTTTAAGACTAAATTAATTATTGTAATCCACGATTAAAGTGATTTTCTATATTTCATAGATAAAGAACATTCTTTAAGCCTAAATTAATCACAAACTGCTGCTTTCTATCGTCTTCTAAATTATTCTAAATGTGTAACATTTATTGGACACATTTTACTGTACCGATCCCCCTTCTGTTCCTCTCCCAGATGTACTAATACCAATCACATCAAATCCCCCTGAATAAAATCCTAGATCACCACTGACACCATTATTTTATATATAAATATATATATTTAATATCATCTTGAAACTAAAAGAAAAAAGAAATCTATTGAGGCATTTTTACTTTGCGATTAATAAAGTCTTATGAAAAACATGAAGTCCAGTTCATATAGAATGTATTAATAAGTATATATTTTAGAAGAATATTTGTTACAGTTGTAGTTTTAGCTTGGGAATGTAGCAACTTATTAATTTCGTAAATAATGCACTTTTATTATGTTATTATTAATTTATTTATAAACATCTTATTTGTGATATTTCTAAACTTTTTGTCAGTTTTCCATTGATAACATTTATAATCGCAAATTTATAAAAGAAAAATGCATAGTAAGCTTAAATTACCCACCCCCATGCTATCCAAATTATTGAAAGATAGACTCGTATATAATTGAATTAAAATAACAGTTTATTTAAAACAAAAATAAGCATATCACACAAAAACTTGGTATTATATATAATAATTCTGCCATAGGGTCACATAAAATTTGATTTATTATTCAATGTATCATTTTAACACAACATACAGAATGTGATTTCATTCTCATAGGACCTCCGCATCATAGTGTATCAGTAACTTTGTAAAACGTAAACTTTTCAAGTTATGCATTATATAAGTAAATAATCAATAATACTAAACAACATGTTCCACGTATAAAAGGACCGGAGCTTTGCGCTTTAGGGCCGTGGGTGCATTGTAAGATTGGCAGTTAAAGCTCATTATTCGATAAGAGTAGCCCAAAAGTTGGCGGCACGTGCTGTTGTTTACCTGCTTTCCCTACAGTCTATCAATTTAAAAGTAGGGACGTCTAGCACAGGTAGCTCTTATGTAGCTTTTTGCAACGATTCGAAACAAACCAATTAGGTAAGTATATAAATAGTTTAAACACAATGAGTTTCCAAAGACCTAGAAAACATGTCGCGACACAATTCAATGTTTTAAGACTTGGATAGAATAAAGTTAGGGTTTATATATTAGTTCTCACTTAATCAATAGGAAATTCAAATTTTAAAAGAGGTAGCAACAACGTTTAGTAGTACAATATTAAAATTATGCAATATATTAAATAAGATTTAGGGCTAAAACCTTTATTAAGTTTAATTCTTATAGCACCTTAAAATAACAATTGTAAACAAGCTGAAATACTGTCTAGGCATATTAATTAAATAATATTTTGTGGAAAAATATTGAAGTATTGACAGATTTCTAAGCACTAATGAGAACATTTTACTTTGATATTTTTATATATTACATTAGGGATAACAGTTTCAATTCAGTCACTTCAATTCTTAATAGCCACAAAAGTTTCATCTTTGAAAGCCAGTTTCCACATTTTAGTTGATATACACGACAAAAATTTAAGATAATGTTTTAGAAATAACATACGAACAATTTTCATAAATTATTAGAATTGAAATTTATTATCATATTTTGCACAGTTTGTTACCTCTTTATAGACACCCTCTTGTTTAACAATTACTTTTCGTTAAAACACTGGCCGTGTTTCTTTATTTAATTTCGAAAGTTATCTTTATTGAAGGTCTGGTCTTTTGGCCACAACTACAGCATAATTTATATTCCACATCACATTTCCATCTTTTGATTTTTTAGCTTTCTTCATAGCAGCTTTCAACATATCTTTGGTGAACACCTGTTTCTTTCCATCTGGAACGGCCTCTATCAACTGCCTCAAAAGGGATCTAACACATTCTGGAAGAATATATTTATACTTAGATTCAACTACTAGCTATAGAACTAGTTTTTTATTCAAAATTATTTTCAATTTTTAAAAAGTGTTTCAAAATTAACAGTAAGCACCTTTTTGTTATTTATTTTAAATAAAGAATGACTGTAGTTAACCTTTTACCATATTAATCCCACGCACACATATTTAGGATGATCACTTAAGGCGGCGGGTGTTGCCTTCTTTCTGATCCGCAGTTCAAAACGAAGAACAATCTGCCTGAGCCCTAGGAGATCCTTGACCTGGTCGTTTAACCAATTATGTGCATAAGATGTCTTTCAGGTGAATAAACACACTTTTTAACCAGTAAAATGTGTAAATAATGAAAAAGGAAGTGTGTTCTATTTCATTTTACTACGAGTTTTGTAACGAGTAATGAATGATACTTGCATTTTATATTATTCAATTAATTAGACACGAGTGAATGTGTACCGATTTATGTTATGCTACGGATTGTCAATGTTTTGTTCCCTAAAGGGAGTTTTATACATTATGAATAAGTCCAGAAGTTTCGTAAAAGTTTAGACCTTTGTGGAGTCTCAGTTTCCTGTAATACTCAGAAAACTAATATAATATACATATGCCAGACTGAGTGAATTTAATTAAGTTAGTTAATCAGTTCAGAGTTAGATAGTGAATTAAAGTGAGAGTTAGTGAGTCTGTTCGACTCTGATTCAGTTAGAAGCTAGTCTGTGAGTCAGTCAGTTTGTTTGTTATCCATCCATTAGCAAAAAAACATCTTGCAAGTAGATGTCTTGAGCTTTATTTGTAATTGTAGGCGTACAATAACTACGGATTTTCTGTTGAAACGTTGTGAAATTAGGAGTTCTAGTGAACGTAGCCCGTAACACACGTTATTAAAAAAAACACTTAATTCGTTATTGTTACGTGAACTGGTCATTACTTCTACCCAATAACCCCGCCCCACCCCCCTTCAAAAAAGAAACCACCCAACAGTAGAACACGTTACAACAGTTTTTTTTTTTAAAGAAGTGTAGCGTTTGCTTGGAAGATTTCCTAAAGCGAAACATTTTATATCTTTTTTTTTTCTGGCAATCAACACACAATTCAATCAAATTAAACATGCTAATATTATGTTGACGAAGGTAGTCGCATGAGGGATGACGGGTAATACTTTCAAGGACATTGACCTGCTTTTAAAGACTAAATTAACAGACATTTAAAAAATATATACTGGAACTGTATTATTTATTTATTTGTAAATATACGCGTGTTATTTGTAATCTTCAAAACTTTGTGTTTTACACATAAGCATCAAATTCATACATGAACCATTTCAAACATGAGTGTCGAAACATATTTATAGACTTCAAAAATTGTTTCAAATTATTTAAAGCTATAACACGATTAGTTTCTATCAAAATACCATGAGATATCTCTTATCATTCTCTTTTCACAAGATCTGTTTTCTTAGCTATTGAAAAAAAAACATTTTTATAGCATTTCTGAATGAATGAAGAAAAAAGGGTGTTTTCGAAAGTTAGCGCTAAAATAAACGAATTCTGAGCATAGACAAGTTTAGGAAGCATGCAAATTTAGTAAGGACCATACATTTTGTTTTTCTTTACCTTTATACTCGTCATTACTTGTGAAGGTATAACGAAAATCCACAAGCTTGGTTTTTAGTACGTGGTATCCCGCTTGTTCCAGCAGAGCAGAATAAATACGATCAGCGTTCGGATGGTGAAACCAGAGTCGGTTGTAATTTTCATCTGTCAGATCTGTCACTAACTCGGAGGATGACTGTTGCAATAAAAGGAAAAGGTTTAGTGTTTATAAAAATCGTCATTTTTAAAAATAAAGAAATTGTTCCTATATAAATGGTGTTGACTAGTTGCCTTCCCTATAGTCTATCACTGTTAAATTAGGGATTGCTAGCGCAGATAGCCCTCGTGTAGCCTTACGCGAAATTAAAAACAAACCAAACTGGTGATAAGCATTTTAAAATACAGCTTTGACAGTTTTGAAAAATAATTTATACAGCTACGACGTTTCGATCGCTGGTGCAATCATTCTCTGGTAATGTCGAGGAAAACAGCAATAACGATTTTACAATAAAACATACCAATATAAATATAAACTTACACACGCATAAATACTTCGTTTTTTTACTGTTGATATGACACTATATTTTAAGCTAAATAGTTGGCTACTATTTGAATGCTTACGAAGAGGTCTTCAAATTCACGTGATATAAAAATGCTTATAACACAATGCTGTTCATCAAACACAATATGCCGAGATTCGGGATACGAATATAGTAAAACAGTTGATTGTATTTTTATATATCAATAATTTTAAGCACAAAATATTGGCATTTTTTCGCAAAAACATTAATCTATATCCAGAAACGCATTTCATATCTTTCTTTTTTTGCGCTTAATTAAAGTGGTTCTGCGGTAAGTCTAAAGGTTTATAACGCCAAAAACCGGGTCTCGATACCCGTGGTGGTATGGTATGAATAATTGTATTTCTATGTAGAGCTATGGTATGAATAACTGTATTGCTACCTAGAGCTATGGTATGAATAATTGTATTCCTATGTAGAACTATGGTATGAATAATTGTATTTCTATGTTGAGCTTTGGTATGAATAATTGTATTTCTACGTATATCTATGGTATGAATAATTGTATTTCTACGTATAGCTATTGTATGAATAAGTGTATTTCTATGTTGAGCTATGGTATGAATAAGTGTATTTCTACGTAGAGCTATGGTATGAATAATTGTATTTCTACCTAGAGGTATGGTATGAATAATTGTATTCCTACGTAGAGCTATGTTTATCTCATAAGAAATTAAACAACTTTGAATATTGATTTAAACTTTAAGGCTATGATTCCCCACAATTTTTGTCAATATAAAAATATTTGTTTTCATAACAATTAATAATTCAGAAAAAGAATAAACGTGTTTAATTAACTCACAAATATCCTCGGTGGATCAACGCTAAGCTTACGGGCTTATAAAGTTAAAGCATATGGAATCATGACAACGGCATGAGCACAGTGCTTATAACCCTTTGTCTAGCTTTGCGTTTAAAAACAAGCATAACTACATGCAAGAAACCAGACTGACATATTAAAGTAAATGTATCAAGTCCTGTACTACTTATTGTAACAGAAGTTGAAAATAATGATAATGACTCTGCCTCAGCAATTGCGCCGAAAAAAATGTCTAATATATAAAATAATATTGTATACACTTATCAATAATGTATTAAAATCACCGTTTAAATTAAAAAGATTCTTAAACTGTGGTAGCGAGTAAATACCATTTGAAGCAAATGGAATATTCCTAATTTGTAATCTAAAAACGCAAATTACCACGAAATACTTGCTCCACGAAGAAGATTTTAACACTTTTGTGACTGCTGCGTGAATATCTGGTGGCTTCCCCGCTGGAACGGCAATAAAACACCGACCACCTGGTTTCAGACACCACAGTAAGTTCCTTAGAACCGTTGACTGTTCACGAGCCCAAAGAAGGGCGTGAGAGGAGAACATCCAATCAAACTTACCACCCCATTTCAAATCAAATGTGTTTATGTCTTGGATGTTTACATTCGCAAAGTCTAACTTTTCATCAGCATGTATTGAAAAGGCATAATCAATGGCATCTACATCAGCATCCACACCTAGAATATCACGTACGATAGGTAGTCGATCAACAAGTTGGCGAGTTGTGTCACCGCAGCCACACCCAACTTCCAGAACACGAGCTTTATCCCATTCTGCAATCGTTGTCAAGTTGAAACACTCAGAAAGTAATTTATCATGCAGAGAGATAAGATAGCCATCATATTCTGCTGTGCCTGGGAGACTGAAATCTGATACATTGCTTCTGCTACGACTTTTACTGCGTCTTGTCCAGATTTCTAGTTGAGACATAGCGCTGTTCTCACAGTATAACTGTACTTGATGGATGACCAACTCGAAGCTAAAGTGATGAGACGTTCACTCGCTATTTTTACTTAGAAGAGTACAGTAACGCAAACTTCGAAAACTTAACATCATCTTAAAGAAACACGATAGACCTAGCTAACATATTTACCCTATCAAATAATGTTTATTTCAAGAATGAGAAAATACCCTCCTTGGGATATACGTTTTGACTGATTAATTCTTGGCCTCGCTCTTCAACACTTAAGACTTTTCTCTTCGTTAAAAATCTCCTTTCTATCTCGGCTTATCTTGGACTATATTTAGTCCAACAGTGAGGAAACACAGCAATGCCCTGAGTGAAATGTTTATTTTGGTCCTGAAGTTCTGCTTGATAATTATAGACTGCCTCTCATACATCCGCTAGAAGGAGCTGTGAATTTTGTACCAATAGCAAAAGTATTTGTTTAAAATAAGTAATTTTTCAGAGAGTAATGACAATATAATGGTTCAAGTTATTCTGTAATATAGTTTTGATAGTTCTCACCATTAATTGGAAAGTACATAAGATATGTTAAACATATTAGAAATTAAAAATTACTTTAACAACTTGCAAATTTAAATTGACCTCAAAAATTAAACATAGTAGCTAAACATTGAACACATACATTTCTGATAGATAGTATTATGTAAACATTCTCGCAAAAGTTGAAGAACAAAGCCTTCTACTAAAGATTCCTGTTATTTATGTAATCATTATTCAGTTAAGGTTATTAAAATTATAACTGCTAACAAAAAAAGGTTTATCATAATAACGTTAAATTGTATAGATAAGAAGTTTACTACGAATAAATACTTTTTCAGATGTACGATTTATTTTAAAGAAAAATTGAGAAACCCTTATTTCTTTCAATAAGTACATTTATTCCGCAAAAAACATTCTAATCTGTGACTAAAAATAAGTAAATACGTTTTGATACATCGGTTGCCCATTATTTTACATTTTTATGCGAAGTATTCGCGTAATCAGTACATTATTCATTTTTGACAGCCTTTCAACAAACAATACCGATTAATTTTCATTAACTGCGTTAACTGAAGCTTTTAAAGAAAAATACACATTTGTTTCTACTCCAAAAAAGAAAGAAAAAGTTGACTCCTTGGACCCTGTGTCTTGAATACAGGGGGCTGAATACGTTATATTAAAATGAATTTGAATGTGCAAATCAGCAAGTCACGTGACAACCAAAGCTGATATAAAGTCGTGGTGGATGATGTGTATCAGAAGCACATGTTGACATTGTTCGGCGTTACATAAGTAGTGCGATACAACCAAAGACTAATCAGTTTTAGGAAGGGTGTGTAACAGCCTTTTCCGACGCAACATATTCGTACACTCCGATGCTAAAGATGTATTTAGGTCGGCAATTGAGAATTTTCAAGTCGGGGATATCCCTTATACTTAATGGCATTGGGAAATAAAGGAATAAGGATATAATAGGGACATTAGGACTATTTAGAAATAGACCTGCAACAAGTTGTTCCCCAGCAGTAGTAAACAAAATGTGGCGTCTTGTAACAGCTGAGAACCCAAAAGCATTAATATCAATGACAAATGATGTCCATGTGCCCCAGTCAACAGTATGCTACATAATCAAGAAGAATCTCTGTCTGGAAAAGTGAGACAACTCACGTGAACACAAGTTCCCGGCATATTCGTTCAACTGTCATATCCCTCAAGCAGCTGACGAACAAAATAGGTATTCATCTATTACATTCAAGTCGCTGAATACAGTGTCTACGAATTTCTGTATGATTGGACAGTTGAAACGGACGCTGAGAAACTGTCGTCTTCGTACACCAGTTGGGTTATGGAAAGCAAACAGGGAAGAAGAGTGTTTTAGATATGACAGCCTCTTACGACGGAATATTTCGCAATGGAAGTTATACTGCAGGGCTATTGGCAAGATGCACGGTTGTCAGATAGAGCATACTGAACGTGGTGATATGGTGTGTAATGAAATGGTGAGGCTCCATATGAGCAAATTAATAAAAACTTCTTTGCAGTATTTGAAATCGATTAATTCGTCAATTGTTTCTCTAAATTTGTTGAATTCGCTGTTAGAACATAAGATACCAAGTTAACCAACTGAAGACTATTTTCGGACTGTATATTAGGTGATAATGTTTTGCAGTATGACACTGTAATTTGTTTTATGGATAATTTTAATTTAATCTTTGACTTTAAACTGTCTAAAAGACAAATTTACAAAACTTGTAGAAGCTTTTAGCAAAATATGTGCCATACTATAATATTAGTTTCTCATCATAATGTTTATAAAAACCGAAAATAATTCGTAGTTTGTTTTTAAAAACGCAACTTACAGCTCAACAACTCTGAAATACTTTATAGAGTCCGTTAGTTGAGCTATATAGACTCCATGTTTGTCTATGTGGTTAGTGGTAACAGTAAAATCCAGTGTAAGATCCTTGCGATAGGAAGAACACAAATATCCCATTCTGTAACTTTGCACTTGAATGAACAACATTTATGTTTATAGAAGTAACAGATATTGTACTATGATAATTGAGACACATTTTTTTGCTTGCTACACTTACTTGTACGTTGTACTATAGGACTTGTATTTGATCTACAGATGAATGATGGAAGAGTGTAATTTACTTCTGTACGTCAATTTGGTCTCACTGTATTTCAGTGGGCGGCTTTTAAAAGTTAAAACTGCAAGCGTAATACACACAAATAACGTAACACTGTGTCGTATTTACTTAACGTAGGGCAGTTGCGCTATATCCTAGAGGAGGGCATAATTATTAATTAATAGGCATTATAGGCCAGAGGAAATTATATGCCCCTTCACACATGCGCCCGGGGACGACTGCCCACCTCTTGCTACGCCACTGGGAAGTACTATTCCTTGCTTTATGCGCTACTGTGTGATTTATTGAAGCAAAATGGCATTCAATATTATGAGACAATAACTCACAAAATTTTGCCAAATGGTGGAAGTTCTATGGAGTATATAATATATGTTCCTTGCTAGATTTCCTCCCATATAACGTAAGAGTGTACAACTTCTCTACGTGCAATGAGGGAATGATATTTGCTCCGAGTGTATGTGTATTTATATATGCTTAAGTAACAGCACGAATGTTAATCCTCGCTGGTAAGAAATTTAGATGAAAATTCTTAATGTGGCTAAATTCTGCCTGTGATTATTTATTTTGTGATACCCAAGGAGAAAACGCTGCGTTTTACTGCTCATAGATAGCAGCACATTAATTATCACATAATTATAGAGACAGTTTTAGATGGTAACCCAGAACGCTATTGATAGTAAATGTCACGAGCAGGAAGGAAGCAGTCTGTTTTATACTAAGATGTGTGATAATGAAATATGCTTATGGATAAATATGTAAATGTTACGACAGCGGAAGTCACGTGACGATAGTAACACGTCATGATATTCTCGAAGGTTCGTGAATGCTCGAGTGTTTGCTAGATGTGTGGTATTCTAATATATAAGCCCGACGATTAATCGAAATTAGAATAGCAGACAGAGAGATTGAAGATATAGACGGACAATTGAGTTAAGCGCGGTAGTAAGTAAAGAGCGTGAATCATTCGTTGAGAATTATAGCGTGTGTTTAAGTGTGGAAATTAAGTGTATTGCAAAGTTGTATTGAGAAAGAATAAACTAATTTTATTTAAGAAAGAACTTGTATCGCTGAAATTTCTCGGGAAGAATTTCTACGGGAAATTAACAAACGAACAGAGACGTAACATAAATATATTTGTGGTGATCTTGCACACGTGTATGAACTTTGCATAAAGTTATTCATGAGTGTTGAATAACTTAACTGATCAATTAAACAAAGAACACAACTGTTAGGAACATATGAATGAAAATAAAAAAATTGATCTTAATGTTAAGGTTTTGTGATATAAAAGTTAACTGTGATTACTCACCTGATGTGTGTTATTTTTAAGATACATTGCACTAGTTATTTTCATTCATGCCAGTAAGAGATTGTTTCGTTTTCAACATTGGAATATTTGGCAGGTTAAAAGTGACAGATAAACTGAAAGTATATTTGAGAGGAAACACAGTATGAAGAGGTGTTTTTCTCTAATAGTAGTGCAGAATGTTTTGACTGGATAGAATGGGAATATTCATGAGTGAATAAAATTATCATTAATAAACGCAATTTACAGACAGTAGCTTAGATATTATATTAAATGTAAATTTGTTTTACTCAGTATCTCATGTGGTTATGATGGAATATTTTAAGTCATGTAGACTGAAATGTTAAATAAGCTCACATAGTTTAACTGAATAGTTTCTTCGCATTTTTTTTTCAGTATAAGGTGTAATTAAAATGCATGAAAATGTAGGCTGTGAGTATAATGCAAGCAACAGAAACTAACATCTGTGTAGTGCCATTTTGTTGTCGCACCTGGCTGTTACTAAATTTGAATCCAGATGAAGTCTAGAGCAAAAAACAATTTAAGTGTTGGTCGATTCCTCATGGTTAGAAGTTAATGGTTAATGCTTGTACAGCAGGTAACCCGAGTTAGCTATTGTATGTAGGAACCAGTGTCTACATTTCTTTCCTACTGGACCCCAAGCTTTGTTACGTACTAAATAGACAGTAGCAGAGGGAATGCAAATAGGGAGGAGAGGAAGCTGTGTTGACTGTTGTCAAAGCAATAATGACAGTGAACAGCACAGATGTATGTATATTGGTCAAGAGGAGACCCAATTCAGCCCGTGGAACTAAGACATCCGCAAGTGTTAGGGTTACATATTTTACCGGTGATATATGTATGAACACAAGTAAGTCTTTAGAAATGTCATTTGTCATATGTAATGGTTGTAAAATTATATCTATAAAAGTAATTTAGAGCAGAGTGTTGTTGTAACAACTTAAATATTTGGCTAAATTTCTGACGAATCGGGACTTATCTGACTTTATACTTTCAATCATGACTTTTGCTACTCAACACTAAGTTCTTAACCATTCTGGCTTCTTGTTCTTTTATTAACCAATAGTGTTCCACTCTCTGCTCTTAAGTCTCCAAGTTGCTATAGTTAACATGGATAGTTCTATCTTGACCAATGAGTGGTCCATGGCTCATTTATTCTTATGAAATGAGGACTAAATCATTTAGCCAATGGTGTTAGCCGAGCCTTTGGCCCTTTCAGTATCGATGGTGGTGACTTTTCTGAAGTAAAACCTGTCTACTATACAAATCACACAGTCAGTA